TGCTCCTTGCTCTCGGGGTGTGTAGCCCTGGAGCGCTCCTACTGCTGGGGTGGGGATGGGGCTGGGGCTGGGGGTGGGGGGAAATGGGAGAGGGGGAGGGGCGGCAATATTGCCCATTCCAGTTCTCGCCACCAGGCCCTTGGTCTCTCCTCCGGGGCAGGGCCTGAGTGACCACTCTGCTCAGTGAAGCCGAGGCTGGATTGAGGCAGAGACAGCAGAGGAGAACACATGCCAACAGCCTTCGTGACCCGCAAGGAAACACGCCTGTCCCAGGACACGGACACTTCTGTCTCAGGGCTTCGGGGTGCATTGCCCGAGTTTCACGACATGTACCCTTAGGAACACGGGAAAGTCACCAGGTCCTGCCTGCTTGACCTTCTGTTGAGTTGTCTGCTTCCACTCCACAAGGGCAGAAAGTCTGAGGAGCCAGGGTGTTAAAGCACGCTGGAGGCTGAGGCAGGATCCCTGTGAGTCCAGGGCCAGCGTGGGCTACGCATCAAGTTCTGGGCCATCCTGGACAATATCTTCCTCTTTGTTTGTTTGTTTGCTTGCTTGCTTTTTGAAATGCAGTACCCGGGATTGAACTCAGGACGAGGCGCTTGCCAGGCAAGCACTTCTTCTACTGACCTATCGCCCTGTTCCCTGGACTACATGTCAAACACCTGTCTGAGAAAGATCAACGAAAAAATAAAGCACATCCCCTCTACCTCTTCTGTGTGTCTTGCCCAATTCCTTCTGCACAACACTAGGAAGGGGCGGTGGGGGGAAATACCCTGGGGGACCCAGCAACTGCTAACAATAGCTCTAATGCACATACAAAATTTGAACAGGAAACCAGATTTTCCTTTTGATCTTTTTAGCACAGGGTCTCACTGTGCGGCTCAGGCTGGCCTTGAAGTTAACTTGAAACCGAGTTGGTCTTGAACCCGCAATAATTCTCCTGCCTGGGCCTGCCAATGATGGGATTCCAGGCATGTGCCAGTACCTTATGTGGCCAAACTAACCTTCCTTTTCCATGTGAAGCAGGAAAGTCAAATTGGGAAAAGGATTAGTTCGCAGGTATTTCCCTTCTGGATCCTGGCTCTTTCTGTGAAGTTAATTCCAAAGTTGGAAAGACTTTTTCTGGCAGAGGTTCATAGTTTGAGGTGTGGGGATTGACCTCTACTGCTGAACCCCCTCCTCAGCCCTTTCCATTTGGAGACAGGATTTCACCAGATTCCCCAGGACAAGCTCAAACTTGCAAACAATCCCCGGCAGCTGCTAACAGGCTAGACCAGGGCATTTAGCTCGGCAGTCGCATCGGTCTCACAAACCGTTCTCGAGGACCCACGTAGGATTCCCAGCCACCACTCAGAGAAGGAGGAGCAACAACCAACTGCCTGGGCACACTTGGCTAAGATAATATAGAGCAGAGGCCAACCTCTGCTTTACGGAACAACAAACTCCCACCATGGGCACTGTTCAAAGTGGCACACAACTCTACATTTTACCACTTGGGAGACCCAGGCAAAAGGACTGCTTAGTTTAAGGGAACTACATAAGGACACATTTTCTCCAAAATGCAAATAAGAGTTGGCCATGGTGGTTTACGCCTGTAATCCCAGCACTCAAGAGAGGCTTAGCTCATTCAGGAGGAGGAGGAGGATCCT